ACCAGTTCGTGTTGCTTGAACTGATCAAGTGAGTTGGTGAGAAGGTTTCTCGTGGCTGTGTGTCGTTGGCTGCGTGCCGTTGCCAACCGTGCGTGTTGGTGTATGGAGATTCCACAAAACTCAAGTCTAGGCTCAGGGGGATTTTAGCTCAGGATTAGGTTATCCTGAAGAATCCATGTTATTGAACAGAACGGTAAATTAAGAAGTTTTACTTGATTTACGAGTTTGCGAATAAGTTGTATTTGCTTTCTGGTTCTCGTGGATTTAATTACTGGACGTGGTCCCGGGGAGTAGGAAATGAACCTCATAAAAAATTTTCTTGTGTTTTTTTATTTCCTGCACTACATATTTTGCCTCACTTGTGTTTACAAGTGGTATCAGAGCGGGTTCTTGATAGAGATTCAATCTTGTTTCGAGTAGATCTAGAGTGAGGAAAAGAACGTAGTTTAGAGACAGGAGTGCTACAGAACGTAGTTCAGGAACTGAGATTGGCAGAGCTACAGGATTTTGAAAGTCGAGTCTGATGGATTCATATCTAGAAGGTATGTCACAAAGTACAAAGTATTTAAAGCACAAAGATACTAGGAAAGAGTATAGAAGAAGTGCAAAGGGTGACAGGTCATCGAAGAACATTCAGTGCTTCGAGTGCAAAGGCTTTGGGCATGTACGTTTTGAATGTACAAATCTGGTGAAGAAGAAGAGGAAGGCGTTGACCAGCATTAAGAGTGGTTCAGACAGTGATTCAGATGATGAATTGGCGTTGAAGAATTTTGTAGCATTCACAACGTTTGTCTCACCAGAATCTGCAACAGGACATGTAAAAAAGTCCAACGATGGAAGTGCTAGTGATGTTGAGAGTTTTAGTGATGAAGAATTGGCTAAGAACTACGAGACGCTATATGAACACTTGCTCAAACGGGTTGAAGAAAATTCGTTGTTGACTAAGGAGAAGGTCAACTTAGAAGCTCAAGTTGCTGAAGCACAGAAGTATGCAGTTCAGAAAGAAGTTGAAGCAACTCAAGCTAGAGTTCAGCTGGAAGAGACACAAAAGCAATTGAGGATGCTTAACAATAGTACAAATCAGCTGAATCATTTTTTGAATATTGGTAAAAGTCCTATGGAGCGACATGGTCTTGGATTTAATGGAGAATCTTCAAACAATGAAACTATTTTTGTGTCTAGGGAAAGAAGAGAGACTGCAATTACGTCTGCTACAGATCCGAAGCCCAAAGTTACTACATGGCCTGCTACTACTATGAAGACTGCGACTGCTTCAGAAAAAACTGCAGAAATTCAGAGTGCACCTAGAAGAGTTTTTCGACATGTTTGTCATCATTGTGGAGTTGCTGAGCATATTAGGCCAAGATGTTATAAGTTATTGAGGGAGAATCATCGAAGGAAACAAGCTTATTATGGGAGATTTCGTGGTCCCACATGTTATCGTTGTGGAATTCAAGGACATGTTCAACGTTATTGTTTCATAAATATTCAAAGGTTTTGTGATGAAGGTCCAAGGTTCAAGAACGTGTGGGTTAGGAAAGATGATCTCTATCGAGATGGTGTGATGGGCTATCAACTTCATCGTTTTGAACGGGGAAGATCTTGGAATTAGTTTTTGACAATGATGTGACTCAAGTAGGGGGAGATTGGAGCTGTTTTTGTTTTGGTATTATTGATGACGTTGCCATTGAAGCTAAAAGTGTTGAGTTCACATACATAGTAAAAAAAGGGGAGATTGAGAGGAGTTACTTGGAGTTTTTTCTGTACCAGTCGACTGTAGTACAGAGACTACTACAGGAAGTGATACAGAAGCTGAGTTGTGTGATTTGTGGAGAGGAGCTCGTGTATTGATATTCACAAGCGTGGATTGAGCTAGAAAAAGGAAAGAGACATTTACTTGGAGGAAAGGAGAAAGGTATTCCAAGAATATATTTGAAGAGAAAAATAAGGAAATGATAACTACAAGGAAAAAAAGTGTCTTAGGGTTTTGGAAAGGTTCTCTATATGCATATATATAGAGGCACGGTGGCTAGAGGCTCTCGACGCCTCTTAGAAGAAAGAGATAAAAAGATTGATTGAGAGGAGAAGACGTCT